ATTTTTGGCATATTTTGCTCTTTTCTTAGTGTGGGTAGCCTGAGGTAGGACGAGGTCGTACCTCTTTTTGATAGGCAACAGTTCGGTGAGAACTGCCCACTGGTCAGTGGATGGCTTAGAAAATGCTTTTTCTATCCCGTAAAGTCGGGATTCTTTTGTCAGGTCGAGTGGAGGAGGTGAGAGGGGTCGTCGGTAAAGTGTGAGCGATACTCGAAATAAAGACGACTTTTAACAACAAAACAACATTTATTGAGACGATAACATAACTAACATAAATACATTGAGCTTATCTCGAGCGGACACGCGGGAGTGGAGGGAAACGCGCCGAGAGAGAGTGTACATTAATGGGTATCATACCTCTACGATTTCGGATCGGACGGTCGGACGTTTTCTAACCGGATCGGACAAGTTGTCTTGAGGAACGGACGGCGGCGATGAGGATCGGCACGGGGTTTCCCCGATCATGAACGGTGATGATGGACCGTGTTCACGGACAGCGACGACGGACCTCCTTTTCTCGTCATCACCCCTCTTTTATCCCTTTCGTCACGTTACTGGGTTTCACCAATCGCCGATTTTTAGGATAAGTTCCTCGTGAATCATTTTTCGGTTTCCCGAGAGATAGGAAACGGCTCCGTGGGAAGGAAATGTATATATCCTTTTTCATAAAATTTCGAAAAATGAAGTTTTCTTTGTTTAACTTTAATAAAGATATTTAATTTAATTGGAGCTCCTTTATTTAATTTTATTTTATTCGGTCCGACCCTCACAATATATTTATTTATGGGTTTTAAAATCTTAACAAATGATATCATCAAAATGACAATATTCTTACAAATATTAGGGGCAGTCAAATGAAAATGAGACAGACTATATAACAAGTGTGGCATGAAAGTTGGTAATGCAGGTAGGTGTATATATAGAAGTGCCCTCTATTAGGAATCAGGAAGGAACAGCATAAACGTTCACTGCTGTGCCATTTGTCTGTTAGATGTGCTCAAAGTGAGGTCAGTGAGTCGTGTGTGCGTCCACCATCACTATGGAGGTCCGCTGCTCATTGACTTTCTGGAACACGGCGCCACAATTAACACACAGCGGTACATAGAAACTTTTCAAAAATTGAAGTGTGCCATCAAATCCAAACACCCAGGAATGTTGACAGACAGCATCATTCTGTTGCAGGATAATGCCCATCCACGTGCTACCAAGATTGTTTTGACTAAACTGCAGAAGTTTTGCTGGGAACTTCTGCAGTGTACACACAGTCCATACAGTCCCGATTTCTCCCCATATTTCCATATTTTTGGAGCCCCAAAGAAAGACATTTGTGGCCGTCAATTTGCTTCCGATGAAAAGGTGCATGCCTGGATACAATCATGGTTCTGTAGGCAACCACAAACATTTTTCTATGAAGGCATTGACCGTCTTGTCTCACAGTGGGATAAATATATTAACAGTTATGGCAATTACTTTTGAAATAATAGACAGTTTACTTACTTTTTTCCCATCTGTCTCGTTTTCATTTGACTACCCCTAATAAATGATGAAAATGTAAATAAATTTTTATCATTTTCAAATAGAATGAAGAATATTTTAATTTTTGACTTCAAGAAAATTAAATTTCTTTTAAACTTTGTAACAGAATGAGATTTATAGATTGATATTGGAACGTAATGAAATATTGTAGCTTATTAAATATTGTCCATAATATTTTAATAAACCATTTTAATTATATGAAAAAATAAAAACTTGATTAATATTAATGAAATGTTGGTTAGTTGGTTGTTTCATTTGAATTAACTTTATCATTTCTAATTCTTGTAGTTTTTATCTCTTTAACATAGATAATGTATATTTACAGAACAACGTTCTTGCAAAGATGATCATTTTAAATGTAAAAGCAAGAGATGCATTCCAAAAATGTGGCTATGTAATGGAATTAATGATTGTGGTGATAATTCAGATGAGGATAATAGTGCTTGTGGTAAGAATATTTTTAATACATAAATTTTAAAAAATTTCTTACATATTCATTAAATTTTGAGATTTTGTCACTGATTATGAGAATAGAAAGAAGAAACAGTTAAAACTTTATCTAATATTTTGTTATTTTTTTCTTGCCAGTTGAATATGAAAAAAATTATTAACATTAAATTATTAAATTATTTTTTCTGGAATATTAAAGTTATATAAATTTAATTTAATTTCTTAATAAAAAAGTAATTAATTTCTAATTATTAAAAATATCAAGAGATGGAGACTTAACTTCCTACCTCCAGCCAAATTTCCTTGATTCTGATTAATAAAGTAGCTTTAAAATATAGCTTAAAACCTGGCAGATTGTTTGGCAATGTTGTAATTTATATAGATTAAAAAAATCTAAGAATATAAAATAATTTAAATTTTAAACATACTACTATAATAAATAAATTTGGAATTAAATAAATAAATAATTTAGAAAGACAGAACAATTTTAAAATTGAATTTAATTATTATTCTCCTGAGGATTTCAACTTTGATATAGAAGAGATGATGCATTTTTGTTGGTATTTGTTGAATCAACAGAATAAAAATGATTACAGAACAGAGTTTGAATTTTTGGATAAAAGTGATATGTGTTTTATTGAGAACAAATATTTTTGTTGTAGTAGTAATCATTATATAATTTTTCTGATTAATTCATTGAAGATATATCTTCAATGAATTAATCAGAAAAAGTATATATATAATTAAAAAAAATTTTCTATATATACATTTACTTCAAATTTGGGATACTCCATTAATTACATGTACAGTACAGTTTGCGGGGAGGAGTTCAAGACATGTCTCCGTGGACTTTTTTTAGTGGTATTATTGGCATTCAAATTTGTTCTTAGGAGCCTAATCATTAATCATGTGACTAAACTATTAGAAAAAGTTGACAGAAGTTAGGGGTTGGTGAACTATTTTACAAGTAATTAAAGGGCACATAGATTGCTAAAAATATGTCACTATACACAATAGGGAGGGAAGAGTCAAAAGTTTCTCAAAAGATGTGTTAGTAATGGACAACCCCTTTACATGCATATTAGTGATATATAAAATCTGATAGAATAAGCCACAAAAAAAAACGAAGCTAACTGTTTTATTATTTACTTATTACATTAACATTAAAAGAAATAAACAAGATTCTGTATTAGTACAATAATAATAGATTCACATTTCAATATTGTCTGCCAAAATTACTTTTTGAAGTAAAAATTATAAATCTAATCTTGTTTATTTTTATTTACAAAAAAATTTCAATATGCAACATAAGGATATTTAATTCTACCCATCTAGCAGTCTTTGTGGTGTGTTATATTGTTTTCCAAAAAATGGTGTTATATCAAATATGCCATTCTTTTAACTATCAAATATCAGTGTTGATCTGTATGTGTATATATATACACAGATCAATATTGATATTTGATTATATATATATATATATAGTGGATTGGGCCAATGATAATGAGTAAGAAAAATTTCTTGTAGAACGTAGAAGTCAGATTACCCATTTCAGATTTATTATANAAGTTATCTTGCTTATAGGTTATTCCCTGGATAAGAATCGAGGTATGTATTTTCACATATAAATGGTTGATGGACTCTCTCTCGGAAATGTATTCCTGATTATTAAAATAACTAATCATAAAGATTCTCTACGAGATAGTATCGGAAAATAAAAATTGAGCCGCGAGTTGTTGTAAATAAGGAATTAAGTGTTAATGGGTATACTTATTAGGAATAACGCTCAAAAAGGGAAGGTGGATGGGAACTAGAAGAATTGTGTATAAGTTGCTCGGTACAATTTCTATCTAAAATTTCATTCTACATGCCCCTTATTCGCTATCAACCTGTATACTAATGATTTAAAGGTTTAAGGGGAGGACGACCGACTAATGGCAGGTGAAATAAAGCGAGGTATATGGCTACAATTTGGTCGTGGCATAACCCAAGGTGGGTCGGGTACTGGTCCTCGGCTTCGTAGTGCATAGGGAGGTTTGGTCTCCTGTTCTGCCTCCGCTTCCGTTTCGGAAACTTCGCTTTCGGCCTCGGGTTCATCGCTCTCACTTTCGCTTTCCGGTTCGGTTTGTTCTTCCGGTAGCTGAGAGGGTATGGATGCTAAAATGACTTCATCCCAAGAGTCCGTATAAAGAAGTTGTTGTGATGCGGTCGTTGGAAGTAGGTCCTGTTCTGTGGATACTATAAGACGATCGACGGTCATGTCCTTGTTATCCCGCTGTATTCTAGTCCGCTTAAATTTTCTATGGGTTGCAGTTTTTCCTTTTGCTCTCCGTCTTTGTCTGGTTCCTCCCCTTTCTTTTTCAGCGGGAGCTGTTCGTTCAATTTGTAGGATGTCCGAAGAGTTTTTCTCCATTTTATTTAGGTCTTTCTGCCTCTTCTTCCTTCTGCGCGGCCGTACAGGTGTGCAAAAATGTATAGGCTTTAGATTAGGTAGCAACACCTGTGCATTAGCAAAGTCAACCGTTAGTCGAGCTGCTTCAATGACGTCTCGGCCCAAGATCCCTTCACACGGGGCTGTGACCTCGACTCGTACAATAGCACACGGTATGCAAAGTTTCCTTCCCCGTAATTTAAACGTAGGCATCGCTGTTCCTATAGCGGTAGTTGGCTTACCTAAAACGGTTCCTAATTTTTGTCTAAGTCCAAATTTGATAGAAGCCTTCCCCTTCAATCTATTCGCTAGTTCATTTGATATGAGCGTACGTTCCACTTTAGGGTCAACTTGCATTTTCACGGGGGTATTATTAACGTAGACTAATATAATAGGATTGGGTCTTAAGGTTGTCGTTCCTATCTTGCCTTTCCACCTCGTTTCTGCTTGTAAATGTGGTCTCTTCCTGGACCTGGTAATCTCGGCTGAGCGGGTGGGTTCGAGATTAATTTCCTTTCGACTCCCTTTCTTTCGACTATTTGTGTTATTTAGTTCTCCCTCTAGGGTTTCTTTAGCACTCTTTGAGTTCAGGAAAGGTATTACTATTCGAGGGGGAATGATCATTTCTCCACCCTTTAAATCAATTAAAAATCCTTTTTCGGTAATCATATCTCTCCCGATAATGCCGTCGCAAGGATAAGTAACATCTATGTCTACTAGACNTGGGATATCGGTCCAGTCAAAGAGTTGACCGAATTCTACTTTAGATAAATTTGCTGTTGCTCCCTCTTTAATTATGTCTATATGTTCTGTTTCTTCTATCGCCTCAAAGATTGTGCCGACCTTAAATCCTTTTTCTAATTTAATGGTCTGTCTAGTGGCATTAAGGAGACGTATGGGTACCTGTCCCTTTTTATTAGGGGTCACTAACAAATCCGCCCCCGATAATCCTTCCTGCGTGAAGGGGACACTCTCTATCACTCCTATCTTATTATTCCACTTACCTCCGGAAATTTTTGCAGTTACTATATTATCGGTCATAGGAGGAAGTCGACATGTCTCTATTAATACTATTTCACTTCCCTTCTCGGCTGCTGCTAGTTGGCCGGGCCTCTTCCTGGACCTGGTAATCTCGGCTGAGCGGGTGGGTTCGAGATTAATTTCCTTTCGACTCCCTTGCTTTCGAATATCTGTGTTATTTAGTTCTCCCTCTAGGGTTTCTTTAGCATTCTTTGAGTTCAGGAATGGTATTACTGTTCGAGGGGGAATGATCATTTCTCCACCCTTTAAATCAATTAAAAATCCTTTATCGGTAATCATATCTCTCCCGATAATGCCGTCGCAAGGATAAGTAACATCTATGTCTACGAGACAACATGCAAACGGAAATCGCAAATCTCCTATTTGGAAAATAGGGCTCATAATGCCGTAAGTTTGAATGGGATGACCGGTAGCGCTTCTTAGATCTGTTTCCTGATTACAATCGAGAGGTATCTTCTTCTTTATCGTATTAGCAAATGCTCTAGATAGAAGTGACACTTTAGCCCCTGTATCTATCTGTACAGTGGCCGGGTTTCCGCCTATATAGCATTCAAAAATAGCCTCATTTGGCAAGGATTGACTTTTTGTCAACTTTAAAGGAGAAAGGGTTCGCTTTCTTGCTGGCGGGTTACTCTGGGTTTGGCGACTTCTATATACAAAGGATCGCTGTCTCCCTTTTGATATAGGGTAAGGGTATGTGGAGTTTCCTCGTTGATTATATCGAATTCGTCGACCATTGACGCTTCGAACCTTGCCTCTCCATTTGGTTCGAGTTTCTTCTGCAGGTTGATCTCGGAATCGGACCCGATTTCAGTCATTTTCTGGTTCGCGCCTCCTTCGGGAATCGTTTCTTGGACGCGGAAAACGCTCATTATTATTATTATCTCGGCGGACTGGCGAGTTCCGGTTGTGATTGCGTTGGGTTTGCGGTCGCTCTAATCGGTGAGTGGGTGCAGCCGGATGATATTCGTTTCGCCGGAAAGGTGGATTATTATAATTTCCACGATTATTTTGTCGTACTATAGGGTTTCTTGCATTATTAAACGATGATCCTCGTGTTAACCTATCCATTCTGGCCTTAAGTTCCTCCATCGCGGTGGTTAATTGTTCCAAATTGTCTCTAGAGTGGAAATCCGGTGATCGCTCGCTTTCCCTAACAGTGTGCATGAACCCACGGGGATGTGCGGTAAGTTCCTCAATTGATTCCTCACTAATCGCCGCTTCTAGAGCGTCATCGAATGTAACTTGCTCTCTTGACATGGTACGTTGCCTAATTCGTATATCAACTCCGTTTAGGAATTGTACTTTTAACAGCTTGTCTAGTTCCTTTCGCTGAATTCTCTGAATCATTGCCGTTTCAGCGTCATCTGGGTTCCGGCGTAATCTCAATCTCCATAGCTAACGCTTGAAGCCTAGCGGCGTACGTTTGTACGTCCTCATCTTTCCTTTGTACGCACGTATAAAATCTATTTAATCGGAATGAAAAGGGTTCTTTATCGAATTGGGTTAACATTATTCGTTTAAATTCCTCAAAATCATCTACCTCCTTAATTCTACGATCCTTTCGTACAAACTCCCGAGCTATACCAGTGAGTTTTAACTTGGCCACCGCCAACATTTGCGCTTTGGACCATGCCGCTACTTTCGTGACATCGGCCAATGAACCAAAAAAATCTGTTACTCAGAGACCTCCCGCTTCTCCGGAGAATACTGGCAATAAGGGAATAATTCCTCCTAGACCTCCCAAAGTAATTGGGCTGGGAGTAGGATTTGGATTTGGATTAGGATTAGGGTTTTCTGCCGCAGCCGCTGGTTGTGGATTGTCCTCCATCATCTCTCCTAGTCCTAAATCTATCTCTTATACCTTTTCTAACAATTCTAATCTACCAGTCCCTAATTCGACTATAATCGCTCTTTTACCTCGAATATCGCCTTTTCCTGCTTTACCGATATCTCGAGAAAGTCGAACCCCACTCCTGAAAAACCAATTTGTGGGTAGCCTGAGGTAGGACGGAGTCGTGCCTCGTTTTGATAGGCAACAGTTGGGTGAGAACTGCCCACTGGTCAGTGGATGGCTTAGAAAATGCTTTTTCTATCCCGGAAAGTCGGGACTCTTTTGTCAGGTCGAGTGGAGGAGGTGAGAGGGGTCGTCGGTAAAGTGTGAGCGATACTCGAAATAAAGACGACTTTTAACAACAAAACAACATTTATTGAGACGGTAACATAACTAACATAAATACATTGAGCTTATCTCGAGCGGACACGCGGGAGTGGAGGGAAACGCGCCGAGAGAGAGTGTACATTAATGGGTATCATACCTCTACGATTTCGGATCGGACGGTCGGACGTTTTCTAACCGGATCGGACAAGTTGTCTTGAGGAACGGACGGCGGCGATGAGGATCGGCACGGGGTTTCCCCGATCATGAACGGTGATGATGGACCGTGTTCACGGACAGCGACGACGGACCTCCTTTTCTCGTCATCACCCCTCTTTTATCCCTTTCGTCACGTTACTGGGTTTCACCAATCGCCGATTTTTAGGATAAGTTCCTCGTGAATCATTTTTCGGTTTCCCGAGAGATAGGAAACGGCTCCGTGGGAAGGAAATGTATATATCCTTTTTCGTAAAATTTCGAAAAANAAATTTCACAAGCCTCAGTAATGGCCTTGATGTTACTGTCTAGTTGTATCCTAGCTACCTCTGGCTCCTCTGAGTAAGTTTCAATTAAGTGTTCCTCTAAATAGTTCTTAATTCCTATCCAGTTAGCTTGATTGAGCGCATACTTAGGACGTGATGCAAATATCGGCCTATCCCCATCGCCTGAGTCTGTCAATTCATATTCAATATAGGCGTGCTCACTTAAGTTCTCATCATTGATAACTCTCCAGTTTGTTATCCTGGAGTATAAGCTGTCATTGCAAACTGCCACGTCAATCCAGCTTTCACCTCTGCTTGAGGTGAAAGTGGGTGGTGAGTATGGATTATTTATAATAAGTAAACCATTAAGTGCAAAGAATTCTTCCAGGAGTCTCCCACGCGTGTCCAAGTTCTCGCCACCCCATGCAGGGGAATGGGCGTTGAAGTCCCCTGCAATGACTATATGTGTGCCTTGAAAGTCGTTAACAATCCTCTGTAGTTTCTCAATAAAATATATGGTCTCTGCGTCTCCAGGGAAGTAAACATTGACCACAACAATCCTTTCATTGTTAATCATAATTTCGGTTGTGATCAAGTATTGGTTACAGTAATTAACATGCTTCATTACAGATAAACCGGTATTAGGCACCAAAGTAATGGCCCATGGGAAATTCGCTGAGCCCCGCAGTACGGGACAGTAAGTGGGTAAGTTTGCTGGTACATCCTTACGACAGTAAGGCTCTTGCACGAGCACTAGGTCATAATTAATAAGCTGCTTGCTAAGAAGGGAGGTAGCAGCAATGCTTCTCCCTAAATTGATTTGCAGTATACATAATTTGTTAGATTTATTTATTTCCATAATCGATTCTTGCCATTATGTTGTTTTTGATCCGGGTATTTATGGAGCATGTACTGTCTCGTGCATTATGTTTATAGTTCAAAGCATTGTCCCGTCTGCAGTTGCAACACACCGGTTCGGTTTCCTTGTTGGGGCACTCCCTGTAAAGATGTTCGCCTGAACAGTGGCTGCATTTAGGTGTCGAGTGTGGGCAATCCTTAGCTGTATGGTTGTACTCGCAGCATTTAAAACACTGCAGGACCGGACAGAAGTCAGCAGTCCTGCAGCGTGACCACTCTATACTGATTTTTCCCAGGTGTAACAGGGTCTTTCTGATGTCAGGGGACACCTCCACAACCCAGTTTTTGTACTTAGAGTCACGTTTTCCTAAGATAAACTTGATACGAAATTGTTTCTCGAACTCTTCGGTTGTGAATTGTCCATTGATTATATCATTTTGTTCATATATTAGAGTAGGTAATTCTTCCCTATTGATATCGGTCTGCACGGAGTAGATTACCATATGGGGCCACCTCTTCTTCGGTCGCTTTGTCATCAATTCTGGTACCTTTTCCTCAATGTTTCTTTCGAGGATAGCAGCCTCATCTTTGCTTCCTAGCTCAATCGCTATACCTCCACCTCCTATTTTCCTTAACTTATCTATACCGATTCGTAAGGATGATGGCTTGAGTTTGGATTGCATAATCTTGCAAACTGTATCACTGTTAGTGCATCCATTATCTTTGTTATATACAAGCAAGACCTCCTTAGGAGGAGAAGTCTTTATAGCAGCATGGTTGCCATTCGTAGTGCCAGTCTTCGCCACAGAACTGTATAGTGGTGTGGGAGGAATGTATCGAGTTGTTTTTTTCCTCTACTTCCTTCAATTTATCTAAAATAATTTTTTGAGTGCCTAATAAATCGTCAGAGTTGGCAGTCTTTGCCAAGTCTTCCTTAGTGGCCATCTTATCTAAGCAGTTGTTAATCTTTGCCATGAGATCTGTTGTTTTAAATTTAGTTTTCGCTAGGGAAATGATCTTTGTCATTTGTTCTATGACATATTTAGTGTGCCCTCCTGAACAGAGTTTGCCATTCGGGTTGTCTAAAGTATACTGCTTAAATTCTTCTATTATGTCATAGGCACCTTTAAGAAAATCCTCCATTGTGTCCCAGGGAGAGGTTGTGGTACAACAAGTGCGTCAACCAAGAAGGTTACCCAACACACTCTTGCCAGTCACCACCTTGAACTTAAGAGTGGATATATTAGTTATCCAACGCTCTCTTGTAACGGTAAGCACTACGTCCAGAAGGCGCTGACTGAAAAACAGTTTGTCACAACACTGGATCCACGAAAGCCACACCAACGCCGATCAGCGGAAAAGCGCCAAGTGGCGATAACATGTACCGAGCGATACCGGTACGAACAGAGAAAATAACCGACAACACGGCCTGCAAAGGGTCGAGCTCAACACGATACAATTGTGACACTTGATACCGAAATAACGAAGCGGACGAGCATGACCTGTGGAACTCCGAACGACCAGAGTTACGCTGAATGGCTGACCGACCACGTGGTCTCGGAAAACCTTTGTTAACGGTAAAACCTTAAGAACAATGTAACTCACGTTCCGCGTAATGTACAACCATCAAATTACCAGACAATATATATATAGATACACGCTATAAAATACCGTTTTCACACAATCCAAAACCGTCAGGAAACCCGATGGAGAAAAACAAAGTCCGAAGGTTTAACAGTCCAGAACTCCAGAAATAACTGTCCGATTGATATATTTCTTCTACTCACGTAATCCCTGTGTGAAGAGGAATCTTCTGGTGTATTATAATCCAAGTTTGAGATAGTTAATCCAAACTAATCGCGATTGAAGTATGGAGCACTAAATACCACGACCTCCTTGTACGACGGCACGGAACTAGCCCCGGCAGCTTTGGCAATAACGGGTAATATCCCGAGCCATCTCAGGCCAGAAGAACTGAGTCCGTATCTTACGCCTCATCTTTTTCATGCCTAAGTGTCCCGCCGTAGGGATGTCGTGAAACAACCTTAGCACGTAATCTACCAGGGTCTTTGGTACGACAATCCGTTCCCAAACCTCATTCCGTTCAGGGATTATTTTTTTATGATATAGGACTTGATCGGCGTCCACATAATAAGTCCAAATCGACGCTATGGTCGCCCTTCTGGAAAGGGGTATCTCTTAACAAGAGCTGCCTGATACAGTCACAAAATTCATCACCCTGCTGCTGTTCCCTAATCTGAGCCTTACTATAAATCGGTGTTACTTCGTCTACTCGCGCTATTGGCACACGGCTCAATGCATCTGCGTTAGAATTGGCTTTCCCCGGTCGGTGAACGATTTCGAACTGATATTCCTGCAGCGCGAGATTCCACCGACTCAAACGCGAACTCTCGTCCTTTACATTGATGAGCCATTTAAGGGGGTGATGGTCGGTGACGACTTTAAATGGTCTGCCGTACAAATACGGGCGAAACTGTTTAATCGCCCATATCACCGCCAAGCACTCTTTTTCCGTTGTGCTATAGTTTCTTTCTGCCTTTTTAAGGAGCCGATTGGTGTAAGCCACCGGAAGCTCACCCCGTTCGTCTTCCTACAACAACACCGCGCCTATTGCTGCGTTCGATGCATCTGTCACTAAGACAAAAGGACTTTCAAAATCGGGCGATCGCAAGAGAGGGGCAGACATCGCAAGCATCTCCTTTAGCCTCTCGAATGCTGCTTCCTGCTCCTCATTCCACCGAAATTCTACATCTTTCTTTAACAGATCAGAAAGGGGTTTCGAAATTCTCGCGTATTGTAACATGTGCCGTCGATAATAACCGGTTAATCCTACAAAGGCCCTAATATCCCGTTCATTTCGTGGTCGAGGAAAATTTTTAACGCTTTGGATCTTTGCCGGGTCAGGCCGGATTCCTTCCCCCGACACTTCGTGTCCCAAAAACTTAATTTGGCGTTGTAAGAAGTGGCACTTTCTTGGTTTTAACTTTAGGCCAGCCTCTGATAACCGTTGGAGTACTAGCTCTAAACGTTTGAGGTGAGATTTGAAGGTGGGACTAAATATGAGTATATCGTCCATGTAAGCTAGATAAATTTTATTCTTAAGTTCACTTAAAATTAGATCCGCTCCCCTTTGCCACGTTCTAGGACTATTAACCAAACCCATAGCCATTCTATTGAATTGATAATGTCCTGAGGGTGTACTAAAACCAGTCTTCTCTTTTGCCTTGGATTCTAACCCTACTTGCCAAAACCCACTCAAGGTATCCAAAGACGAAAAGTAAGTCGCCTTCCCCAACAGGCTCAACGACTGCTGTATGATAGGCAACGGGTAAGGGTCCACCTTGGTGACCTTATTTAATTGGCGGTAATCCACCACAAGGCGCTGGGAACCATCAGCCTTCTTTACTAATAATGCAGGAGAAGACCAAGGAGATTGCGAATGTTCTATTCTACAATCCCTATCTCGATTAAATCGTTAACTAATTTGTCCATGTATTCCCGTTGCGCGTAGGGAATTCGGTATGGGGGACTATTCCCCATGTCTATGTCGTGTTGAACTATATTACAGTAGCCAAGGTCAAAGTCGTTCTTGGCGAACACGTGTTTGTACTTATATAGCAGGTCAACTAAAGGGGTTACTTTGTTCTTTCCGATTTCGCTCAACTTAAACATGTTAGCAAATTGGGCTCGCATTAGTTCATTTCCAGATGGTCCGTCTGAAGTGGCTTGATCCTTAGGCTCATCTTCCGCTTTAAAAAATGCGCCTATTTTCAATCCCTTTTTAACCTTCATCGGATGTACGTCCGTATTCATAAGGCGTATGGGGATTTCACCTCATTTACGCGTTTGCACCAAAACATCGGCGATAAATAAATGTCTTTGCTCGGGTGAAAATGGTTCTACCATGCCTACTTGGTTGACCTCCCTTGAGGTCACTCTCCCCTTTACAATCACTTCAGACCGAGGGGGAATGACGTAATCGCCAGTTAAGACGACTTCATTAGGAGAGACTTCGTTAGGAGGGTTACTCCCGGAACAGGAACTTTCTCCTTTCTCGACTGGGTTTCCGTTTCCCCTTTTGCGGTTGCGCTTTTTCCTAAGGACCGACTTTTCTTTTAAGTCTTTAAAGCTAACCGTTCTATCCATTTTAATTTTTCTGCTACTCACGCCATTTATATAACTGTTATTTATTTCTGTATTTTTACACATATTACTATCATTACCGCTAACATCGAAACAATTTCTACCCCTACTAGATTCCGCTACATTTGAATATCTTTCTATCCTTATCGGGTCACCTCGGGCCGAATTTCCGGGCTGATCCCATGAATAGTCGTCCTCAACGGGTTCCACTTCACCCTGAAACGACACCTTCTCTCCTGACGGGAGAGTTATCTCTGCGTTTTTCATAGAGATCGTCAGATCATTCCTCGCGATAGCATCTCGACCGAGAAGACCGTCATTTGATACGGTAACATCTGGATTGACCAGAAGCAATCGTGAGCAAACGTCAGATTTCCGATTTTGAACATTAACTTATACTTCCCATAGTTTTTGATTGTATGTCCCGAAGCGCTATACAGTTCTACTGGTTCGGACGCTAATCGAGGTAGCGTATTCCAATCTGGGAGGAATGCCTTTGATATCAACGTAACCGCCGCGCCCATGTCCACCAACACTAGAGCTCGATTTTCGTTAATCTCGCAGACCAAAGTACCTACAGGCACTGTCTCTCGTTCGCTTTTTGCTACACCCGTTATCTGAGTAGTTTCTTGTGCCTCATTTTCCGAACAAACAAGGGAGCAAGCTGGCACTCTAACGTTCACTGAATCGAGTCTCTTTCCATTCGGTCTCGATTTCCGATCCTGATTGGCTTTTTTCGCTTGTTCTCGCGAATTTTCTAATGCCGTTCCGGACGAACTTTCTGGAGCGGGCAATGCCGGATACTCGGTCACCATGACAATAGGTGACGAGTGCTCATTACCAGACCATTCACCTAGCCATCCCTGTCCATAATACGCGGCATAAAAAGGAGTCGCATCCGCCCACGAATATCGGGATGGGAAAACGTGGGTCCCCGCCATTCGGGCATCCTTGCCTGCGCATAGTATGTGGGTGCAAACCAACTGGTGAAAAATGGCGAGCACTGCATAGGTGCCCTCCAGTTTCCGGAATCGTAAGGATAGGAATTTAGCCCGCTAGGTTGCCCATAACTTGTTTGTTTCAGCTGCCTCGCGAATGTCGGCCGATTGCTAGTAAAAGATGGTGTTGAAGGGAAATTATTTGAGGGTACTGGATAACGTGAACTCTGAAAATTATTTCGAGGTGGTGCATATGCCTTGTTTGCCTTATTTCTATACAGCGGAAGCGGTCTGTCTTGCACATTTTCCTCTCTCAGGGCCTATCTTTTGGTCTCAATCCCTGAGTTGATTGAGGCTCGAATTTCTTTTCTAAATTAGCCAATTGCCCTGTAATTTGGTTTATTTTTGCCTCAAGCTCAGACCTGGACCGCTTATTTTCTATCCCCGAGACTGCCGAAGCCGCGTCGGTTGCCGTATCTACACTTGCAACCCAATTTCGCGTTTTTCCCACTAATTGTTCGATTGTTTATTCTCACGTCGTGATTTTTAATGCATCCGAAAATGTCCGAGGGTCGTGGATC